ATGCATCCTGCCACCGCCAGCTCCACGCGCCCTCCCCCATGCATGGGGCAGGGGCGCCCTCCCTCATCCCAGAGCACAATTAAACTGTCTGCCCAGGGTGTCAGAATGGCTCAGTCCGGCCCTGGGTAGGAGAGATGGAAACCCCTCAGGTTAGGTCTTCTCTGCACCGGGGGCTTGAGCAAACCTTCACGACCGTCCACACAGAAAAGCCTCTGACCAGCTCCACGCGCCCTCCCCCATGCATGGGGCAGGGGCGCCCTCCCTCATCCCAGAGCACAATTAAACTGTCTGCCCAGGGTGTCAGAATGGCTCAGTCCGGCCCTGGGTAGGAGAGATGGAAACCCCTCAGGTTAGGTCTTCTCTGCACCGGGGGCTTGAGCAAACCTTCACGACCGTCCACACAGAAAAGCCTCTGACCAGGGATTTCTATAAGCCCAGGCTATTACCCAGTTTGGGATGGGGCGAGGGGGCTTTTACACCCTGGACTCTGCTGTAATTCAGGCTAGAATCCCCCCTCCCCCTTCCCCCCGCATCCCGACTTTGCAGATAGGATGCTGTCAAAACTCAAGGTCTCCAGCAACTTCCCCTGATTCTCCCTGGGGAGGGCAGCCCCCTTCTCCCACAATGAATGAATCCTAGAACATCCTGCTGCCGAGAGCCCAGGGCAACTCCTCCGAGGACGCCCGGTGGAGATCAGAGATGGTGAGGGGCAGAAACGGGGTTGGGGCTGTGCTGGGGGGGTGCTCGCACCCCGGTGCCAATCCCCGGGTTAACTCTGCGGGGAAGAGACACCCTCAGAATTGCCATTCAGCTGTGCGAAAGGGAATGGGCGTGTCACGCAGGAGAAGCACTGACGACATTTAGGAGCACAAGTCTCAATGGCGTTTGGTGGGAACCGGGCTCTTTTGAAAATCCCACCCTGAGTCTGCGAGCGTTCTCAGGCCAAATCTTCCCAAGCGACTCGTGATCTGGGTTGCTCCATTTTTGAGATGCCTTCGCAGTGTTCCCTGTAAGCTGAGCGCCTGGGCAGCCCCCCAAAAGAGATTCAAATGCTACCCAGCTGATTAGCAGAGTGCCCACTCCCAGATGTGTTTCTATTGGTGGTGCACCTCTGCCTTTGCCTTGGTGCACATAACAAACTTTATTCCTCACACCAAGGGAAAAATTAGAGGGAATGCTGCTTATGAGTCTGATTTTCAGAAAGTACCAAGCATCCCCCCTTCTGCAGATCAGGCCCCTTTAACATGTCTCAAAGTGGGCACCCACAATCACTAAGCACTTGTGAAAAGTAAACTGTAGACTGTGTCTTAAAGAGACATTATCAATTTTTAAAATCCATATGACACTTGTTAAAAGTAAACTGTAGACTGTGTCTTAAAGAGACATTATCATTTTTAAAATCCATATGACTTATTTATCTTAAGGCTCAGATTTTCAAAGAGACCCAGGATATGGGGATGTTCAAATGCCATCAAAATTAATTGGAACTGCAGGTCTGATCGTCTCAGACTACATTCTTTTATGTGTCATTAATAATATCTTGGACTCTAAAGAGAGGGAGAATATTTAACAGCCTAGTTCTCAGGGAGGCTGCCTTTGTGGATCAGGCGCAGGACTGGGACTCAGTAGAACTGGGATCTCTTCCCTAATCTGTCGCAAACTTGTTGAAGTTACATCCTCGTCCTGTGCCTCAGTTTCCCACATCTGTATTATGGGCATAATTACACTTACCTGCCTCCTGGGGACATGTGAGAGGCTACCTGAGCTAATGTTTGTAAACTGCCTTGAAATCTCCAGCTGACTGTGAGCTACGGAAGTGCAAATGTATCTGTAGGCTTTGTTGTTCAAATCACTTCTCTTTGCTTCTTGCTGGCCTTGGTCCATGCAATCTAGTTGATTCTGCTTTGGGGCATCATCCGTTTCTAATCTGTGTCACTTTTGCTTCTTCCTGAACACTGTCTGGAAAGATGCTGCCTTATCTGCAAGGGAATGTTTAAATCCCAACACCAAATCATGGTTTTGTTAAATGCTTATTTCGTAATTCCTTGACGCCAATTCACTTCATATTAGGGGTTATAAAAGAAATCTGAATGTTGCGATGGTCCCTTGATTGGAAGTGGTTTGAAACAGGAAGCCAGAAGTTAGGGTTTGAAACTTTGTCACAGCTTTGAGTGGGTGAAGACACTTTTCAGTGAGAGACATCAACAAACAGCTGTTTGATTCTAGAGCAGAGGTGGGGAACCTAAGGCCCAGGGGATGGATGTGGCCCTTGGCTTGCCTGGATCCAGTCTCCGAAGCTCCGGGCTCCTCCCAGCAGCGTTAGGGAGGAGTTCCCGCCCCTCCTCCATCCCACCGTGGGGTTGGAGCACACAATCTACACGAGGGGAATGTGGGGAGGGTCTTTCTCCTTCTTGGCTGCGGGCCACATCAGTGAGGGTTTGGTTTTTCTTTTTCGCTTCTTCCTTGTGTTAAGCTGATTTTTCTGTAGGTCGGTGGTCCCTGACCGGAAAAAGGTCCACCTCCCCCGCTCTAGAGTAACTCTATTGCCCTATGATATTGCTTCTGATTTATAGCAATGAATCTGAGAGCAGATGCCAGGAGGGAAGTGCAGTGGTTAGGACTCTGGCCTGGGACTTGGGAAATGTAGGTGTAATTCCCTTCTCTGCCACCGACTTCCACTGTGTGGCCCTGGGCATGTCACTTAGCCTCTAGCTGCCTCAGTTCCCCATCTGTAAAATGCGGGTAACAGTACTGCCCTGCCTCCCTAGGGGGCTATGAAACACTCAGATGCAGTACTCCAAAGAGCAGAACTTGATCCTCAGGGTGTCGATAGGTGCCTCCTGCTTGCACGTTTTAACTGTGCGTTATACTTTTAGCGCCTGAAGTTCTCCATGGCTGTCCATATGGCCCCGAGGTGGATATGTGGTCCGTGGGAGTCATAACGTATATACTGTGAGTAACGCTGAAAATCTCTGACAGCAGCCCATGCCCCTCCCTCCTTGCCACTTTTCCCAACCACTGCCCTTCGGCCGTGAAGGAGTGATGCCTCTGAACACCGTCTGCCAAGATGCCTGGTGTTTTCACCAATTTGCACATGCCATTCACACTAACTGCATGGCCAGTCCATGCAACCCTTGCACACATAAGGGCTTACACGAGGACTGCCATTAACAAGTCTTCTTGAGGACGTGCCAGCTAATGAGGCAACTCTCAAAATCTACACGCTTAGCCTCTCCCGAGTGAGTGGAGTTGGCCGTTGTTTCTCCTCACCGCTTTGTTGTAACCCCTCAGTCTCAGCAAGAAGCAGTTAACTCTCATGAGAAGTCTCATTAAAAGCAACTGGTGGTCCTGGAGTACCTTAGGGCATGTCTACACTTCATTTCAAAAGAAGTTACTTCGAAATAATAACTCCCCAAAGAACTATTTTGAAACCAGCATTATTCCTCTTCGCATGCAGGAGTTATTACTTCAAAATAACAAGCCTGTTATTTCGAAATAACGGGCGTAGTAGTGTGGACGCTCACCTTGTTATTTCGAAATAAGGGAATTATTTTGAAATAACTCCCTAGTTTAGACCAGGGCTTAGAGACTAACAAAAACTATAGAGAGAATCATGAGTTTATGTGGTTAAAACCCCCTTCATCAGATGAGTTGGACTCCAATTCATCTAATGAAGTGGGTTTTTCCCACAAAAGTTCATGATTCTCTCTGTGTTGCGAGGAGTCCTGTAGCACCTTCTAGACTAACTGAAGTGTAGGAGCATAAGCTTTCGTACATGCATGTGACGAAGTGGGTCTTTGCCCACGAAAGCTTATGCTCCTACACTTCAGTTAGTCTAGAAGGCTATGTCTAGACTGCAGGCTTCTTTCGAAAGAGAGCGTCTAGACTGCACGGAGAAATTTCAAAAAAGCGGCTTGCTTTTTCGAAAGAAAGCATCCAGTGAGTCTGGATGCTCTCTTTCGAAGACGCCCTATTTACATTGAAGAACGCCTTCTTTTGAAAGAGGAACTTTCGAAAGAAGGCGTTCTTCCTCGTAAATTGAGGTTTACCGCCATCGAAAGAAAAGCCGCGTTCTTTCGATTTAATTTCGAAAGAACGCGGCTGCAGTCTAGACGCAGGTGAGGTTTTTTCGAAAAAAGGCTACTTTTTTCGAAAAAAACCCTGAGTCTGGACACAGCCTAAGGTGCCACAGGACTCCTCGCTGCTTTTGCAGATTCAGACGAACACGGCTACCCCTCTGATACTCTCTATGTTGGTTAGTCGCTAAGGCCTGGTCTCTATTAGATCAGGCAGGTTGGCTCAAGGTACTCCATCCAGCGACACAAAATGCGTAGCTGGATTTGGCATACCTTATGCTGAGCCTCTGTGGCGTCTATGGTGCGAGAGGCCAACAGGAGCGCACGCTGATGGGCAGAAATGTTCTCCTGCTACTTGTATGCCTCCTCCAATCCCCTTTTCTGAATTTTATCCCATTGTATTTTCAGGCTGTGTGGATTTGAACCATTTTTCGATCCAAGAGGGGACCAGTACATGTACAGCAGGATACTGAACTGTGACTACGAGTTTGTTTCCCCATGGTGGGATGAAGTTTCCCTCAATGCCAAGGACTTGGTAAGTTACCTGAGGTCTCCACGTAGGATGTGGGTGAGACAGTGGCCTCTGGATTGTATGTCATGTGAGGGAACAGCCTGGCTTCTTGTTAGGGAAGAGCTTTGTAAGGACAAGTCTACCCCAGCAACTGTTACTAATAGAGTACTGTCACTTCAGATTATACCATGATCTTTAGCCATGTGGACTCTCTGTTCCAGAATAAAAGTTGCTCCACTTAAAAAAACGAACAAACCTGGAATTGCTATATTGGTCAGTTTCCCCCATGTAGACAAGACTTTAACTAGATCACTTCATGCGTGACTCGTAGACACTTGGAACCTATGAAGCCAGGCTTCGTGAACTGGGCTTGTTTAGTTTGGAAAAACGAAGATTAAGGGGGGACATGATAGTGGTTTTCAAATATCTAAAAGGGTGTCACAAGGAGGAAGGAGAAAATTTGTTTCTCTTGGTTTCTGAGGACAGGACAAGGAGTAATGGGCTTAAAGTGCAGCAGGGGAGGTTTAGATTGGACATTAGGAAAAAATTCCTAACTGTCAGGGTGGTCAAATATTGGAATAAATTGCCAAGGGAGGTGGTGGAATCTCCCTCTCTGGAGATATTTAAGAACAGGTTAGATAGACATCTGTCAGGGATGGTGTAGACGGAGCTTGATCCTGCCTTGAGGGCGGGGGGCTGGACTCGATGACCTCTTGAGGTCCCTTCCAGTCCTATTATTCTATGATTCTATGATTCTAACCTCCATGAAATTATCTAGCTTCTCTTTAAACTCTATTATAGTCCTAGCCTTCACAGCCTCCTCTGGCAAGGAGTTCCGCAGGTTGACTATGTGCTGTGTGAAGAAGAACTTTCTTCTTCATATGACATTGGCTATGCCCTGGTGTAGATGACAGCAAAAAGCACAGGACAAAGATCATTTTTACTGTAGTCTACGTGGGAGAGTCATTTCTATTTTGCAGCCCATAGAGCAGCGGTCGCCAACCTTTTTAAACGCAAGATCACTTTTCCAATTTAAGTCAAGCCAGGAGCTACCTCACACCCAAATACCCTAGTCCCGCCTCCTTTCCTACCCCTTCTCCAAGGCCCCACCCTACTCATTCTGTGAACACTCTCACAGAGTCCTCCCCACACCTGACAGTCCCCCTTGGATTTTGGGGAAGTGGGAATAGTTTGTTCAACGGCAGAATTTAGACCCTAATGGTACCGATCCATTGCACAAACACTGACGAGATACTAGGCAGCATTGCTGGCAGGCGTTTAACCCCAAATTTGCTTGAGCAATAAAAAAAAATGAGGTTACATGATAATGAGTTAC